CCTGCTCCCTGTGTATTAGTTCTTAAATTCATTAGGCCAAGTAACCTCATTTTGTCCCTGAGGTTACTGAACAGAGACATCACAGATGTGGACAATGGGAGCTCTGGCATTTTGGCCAAACATTGGTACCTTGAACTTTCCGTGAACTACTTTGCTATTGTCCTGGTAACAGCTTTTCCTTGCATTCATTTGGCTCTGAATCAACATAATGACATTTTGAATTTTCAAGAAACTCTTTATTTGCCTTCCCAACTTCATTCCCCTTAGTCTTTAGTGACAATACTTAGTATTGGGTGAGAAACTACGTCCCTGGACCTGGGAAATGTCTGTCAGTAAAGTGCTTGTGGCTGAAACAATAGCTGTGCTGCATTCCTGTAGAAACCCTGGGGAAAAGCCGAGCTGGGCACGAGAAGTATTAGTAGTAAGACTGACTATCTACAATCCCTGGTCAAGAGTTGCCACCTGTCCTCTTGACCTATGTCTGTGAGCACATAAACTGAGTGAATGCTTCAGGAAATAGTTTCTTAAAAGTGTGGTTTGCTCCAGTAGCATGGGCCTGTTGAGACAGTAATGAATTGCCAGCAAGGTTTCATTAACACTGGACAGGGTAACGAGCTTCCCATATAAGTGTGAGGACTTGAGATTTTTTTCCCACAACAGCAATAACTAAGCCAGCTTCTACAGTCCTGGGGCTTCTGCAGGGAGATAGATGGCAGGTCAAAACAAGAGAATCCATGGAAGAGTAGTGTCCAGGCACAACAGTGATAGACATTGTGCCCCATGAGGTAGAGAAGAAGGTCCATGGTGTTCCCTTGACATGTGTCATGGGAATGTCTTCATTCAAGCATGCAGTGTGAATACACACACGCACAGACACATACACACACAGTGAGCAGGAAACCAAGCAAAAATGGGATGAGAAACCCAAAATGAAACTGTCATTTCCGCAGTTTGTATATGTGTTAACTGGGCAACTGCACTCACATGTATACAGACATACACTGCAAAAATCATTAGTGAAAGAGGCATAGCACTGTATCTGTTTCATCCTGTCAAAGCTGGTTTTTGAATTCACCCACCACCTCCCAGTCACACAGTCTTGGTCACTATTATTAATACATATTTTTTAACTCTTATCGACCTACCTGCCTACCTGCCTACCTATCTCTCTCCATAGCCCTGGCTGTCCTGGAACTCACTATGTAGACCAGGCTGTCCAGAAGTACCCCTTACATCTCCTTCCATGTGTGGGCGTATAAAGGTTGCATGAATAACAAATGGATTCAGAGCTGGTGTTGCATCCAATTAGTTGAAACCTGCTGATTGTTTCAGGGTAGAGGAGACATCTGGGAGTCTGAAGACACATCAGTGCTACCTCATTGGTAGGGTTTGTCTCCTCATCTGTAAAGCTGGTTGCAGTCACCGTTAGTGCCTGTGTTTGATGTCCCCGTGCTGGGCAAACGAGAAGTATTCAAGGCAGGCAGTTTCATATCTTTCCTTCACAGTATTTCCTGTTCTTCTTCCTTACAAACCTTGTTCTGATGTGTAACTTTTTTTTTTTTGTTTTGTTTTTTGGTTTCAAAGTGACAGTTACATTGGATGTAGAATAAAGTCCTTGACACAGTGGTGGCTTACGCAGGGGTTCAGAACTGTCCTGCATAAGGCTTCATCAGCAGATGTCAGGCCCTTGATTTCCATAACTCTGACACCCTGTCTTTCTCTTAGACCGCTGTTTGTCCTGCGGTAGGAAGAACCCTGTGTCCTTCCATCCCCTCTTTGAGGGTGGGCTCTGTCAGAGTTGCCGGGTGAGTCTTCCTGCCCCTTCCTCCTGTCACGTCCTTTCCCCTGTCCAGGCCCCCAGCCCAGTTCCTGCTCCAGGCACTAGTGAACAGCTTCCCAGGGCACATTCACCCCCACTTCCTGTTTGGGGGACAGGTGCTGCAGCAGAGAAGGCCCTCCAATCACATGCACTGTCACTGAAGAGCATGCCAGGCCACCGGTTAGGGCCCCAGCCAGCTTGCTAGCCAGGCCTGGCTGAGGTCAGGCCTGTGGTCTCACGTGCTTCTCTCTGGTGGTCAGGATCGCTTCCTGGAGCTCTTCTACATGTATGATGAGGACGGCTATCAGTCCTACTGCACCGTGTGCTGCGAGGGCCGGGAGCTGCTTCTCTGCAGCAACACCAGCTGCTGCAGGTGAGTGGGGGGCCGGACAAGAGGGCCTCAGGTCCCCGGGGAACCTCACAGTTCCTGCAGTCTGTAGGCAGCGAAAACCAAACAGAAAAAGCACCCCGTCAATAGATAGTCTGTGGAATCTGGTGCTCACGGGCATGAACTGCATTGATGCATAGTGCTGGACTCAGGTCAATGTGCCCGTGAGGTCAGCCCCGTGAGGTTTCTGTTGAAAGGCTCTAGACCTGAAGGGAGTGTGAAGGTTCCATATTCAAGAAGGGGTTTCTTAACCTATATCTCAAAATATGTGGAGGCCGGAGGCTGAGCATCAGGCAGGAGATCTAACTGGGCCTACATGACAAATGTCTGGTAATCTTGGTGCCCACTCTCTTTGGATACTCTGGTACAGGTGCTTCTGTGTGGAGTGTCTGGAGGTGCTGGTGGGGACAGGGACAGCGGAGGATGCCAAGCTGAAGGAACCCTGGAGCTGCTATATGTGCATCCCACAGCGCTGCCATGGTGTCCTCAGGCGCAGGAAGGATTGGAACATGCGCCTGCAAGACTTCTTCACGACTGATCCTGACCTCGAAGAATTTGTAAGCCATAGGCTCTGTGTAGTCCCATGCAATTACAGTCCCTGAGAATCTGAATCCTGTGCATCTGTACAAGCGAGAGTCAGGCCTTTAATCTCAGAATGTAGTAGACAGAGACAGACCTGTCTCTGAGTTCAATGATAGCCTGGTCTACATAGTGAGTTCCTGGCCAGTCATGGCTACCTACATCGTGAGATCCTGTATCAAAACAGCCAAAGAAAATTATAGTAACAGGCATAGAAACAAAGGCTGGAATCTCAGCACAGAAAGCTGAGCCATGAACTTTGTGATGAGTTTGAGGGTAGCCTATGTTAGTGAGGTCAAGGCCAGCTGGGAACGTGCAGCGAGATTCCATCTCTGCTACCTCACAGAGCCCTGAGAGCCCTTGCGAGTCAACACCTCTAGCCGACAAGTCTCTTTCCAGTGCCTTCTGAGGAGGGAACAAGACGGAATGTTCGGAGCCTGTGGGTGACAAGAGCAGCTGCTCCCACATTGTAGGAGTTGATCTCCTGTTCTTAGAGGCCTTGGCAGTTACTGGTCAAGCTCCTTATCTGGCTCTGTGTGTCCCTCCTATCTGAGGACAGCATGGCCAGCCTGTGGCTAATGCTTTCTTCCCTGTTCCCATCAAAGCATCTGGGCACAGGAGGATGGATGGGCACTCTGAGGCATCACTCTCTTTGCTTATCTGGCAGGAGCCGCCCAAGTTGTACCCAGCAATTCCCGCAGCCAGGAGGAGGCCCATTAGAGTCCTGTCCCTGTTTGATGGAATTGCGACAGGTGAGTCTGAGGCAATGAAAGGCGCTTCTAGGCGGGCTGAAGGTGTCTCCCCTGTGACAGTTGTGGACCGTCGGCTTGCTGGCAAGCCCCTCAGTCTGGGCTCTTTTCTAGTTTTTCCTGTTTGTGTGCACGCAGGAATCAGTCAGCATGCACAGCACTCTTGGTCTGCTGTGGCTCATGCAGGGTGCTTGCTCCCCTTTTCAAAGGACACACTTCTTAGCTCTTTGCATTTTAACCTTTGTTCTTAAACTTTTCCTTCTGTGTGCATAGATACATTGGTGGTCAGTTAGGTAGCAACTACCTTCCTCAGTCCTGGTTCCTTTCCATGTCGTGAGCCGTCCCCTGCATGGAAGGAGAGAGCATGGCCACTATGGGCGACGCTGTGAGGGCCCCTGGAGTCGACACGGCTGCTCTGAAGCAACAGTGATGGAGTGAGGGGATGGATCCTCATTCCCCTGTCCTCACATTTCTATTTGATCCCTCACAGGGTACTTGGTGCTCAAAGAGTTGGGTATCAAAGTGGAAAAGTACGTCGCCTCCGAAGTCTGTTCCGAGTCCATCGCTGTGGGAACCGTTAAGCATGAAGGCCATATCAAATACGTGGATGACGTCAGGAAAATCACAAAGAAAAATGTAAGGGTGACCTTTTTCCTGGAGT